AACAATAATGTATTTAGTTTTATTTATTAAATCACAGCCAATCACAAATTTCATTAAAAAAAATCACAATTCAAGTTCAATTCATTTTTTTCTTTGCCCCCCAAAACATGCAACACTAATTCAGACATTATTTTGTACATTTATTTTGCTTTTTCTCTTTTAAAATATAAAAGTTATGCTTTGAGAAAAAAATACGTTTAAAATGTGAAATGTTCCAACTGAATAGAATTAGCATTCAAAACTCTGGCTGACAGCGATTTCATAACATGCATAGATTTACATAATAAACTGTGTTTGATTTTGTGCATCTATTTAACAATATATAGCTGTCATTTTAATGTGACGAAGAAACAACAGAAAACATGAAACTCTTACTGCTGCAAAACGCAAATATAGGTAAATTAGAAGCATGTAAAGGCTTTCATTTAATAATCTGTGTAATAAATGACAGATTTGTTTTCAGTCAGTGTTCATTAGGCTGAAGTTGAGATGATCAGACGTCCACAGACTAGCATGAAGGAGCCGAGCCATTATGAAGAGAGCAGAAAATGGGTCACTTGAGTCGTTTGAGAGAAATGAGGATGAGACGAGAGGCAGAAGCTAGTTATCTGACCTCTGACCGTCTGATCTCCGCAAACCTCACCTGTTCTAATAAACACGCTAATGCCTCCCACTTGTGTGTGCGCGCGGTGCTGCTGAAGAGCACTGGCGTCACGCTGTCAGAGAGATGGAAATAGTGCGGGCGTTCGCCGACGGCTATCTCATCGTTTCGATTGGTTTCTTTCATCTGAGCGAGGTTCCATTCGGCTCGGCCAATCAGGAGCCGGTGTGTGTGTGTGAGCTATGAATATGTATGACATGCTAATTCCCGTTGTGTGGCCTGTAGTTTTGGCTCAGCGGGGACGGCGTGTAGCTTTAATAAGAGCCTGCGGGGCTTCTGGAGCTCCAGACCCTTCAGGCTGATCTGGAGTCTGTCTGCGCTCTCAGATAAACCAGTTCAGTCCATCATCTTATCAGGCTCAAACACAAGCAGCACTGCACAGTTTATTCATTCATTTAGTTAGCTTTTCTGTTATAGTTTTTATTGCAAAGGCCTTATTTCTATTTTATAAACAGCATAATTTATTTTTGTAGTTTTTGTTATAGTTTTTATTTTATTTTAAGTGCCTTATTTTTATTTTATTAACAGCTGAATTTATTTATTTACTTATTTATTTTGTATTTTTTATTTTATTTCATACTAAGTGCCTTATTTCTATTTTTACGAACAGCAGAATGAATTTATTTATTTATTACTTTTTATTTTATTTCAAAGTAAATGTTTTATTTTTATTTTTTTAACAGCAGATATACTTATTTAGTTTTTTATTTTATTTAATTTATTTATTTTTTTTTATTTGTATTTTTTTTTTAAAGTGCCTTTGTTTGTGGTAGTGGTTTAGATAAGTGGTGTATTTTGTAATGCAAACTAAAAACCCCAACTAATACAAATGACAAAAATACAGCAACATTTCTAAAACTTTAACTATTTATTTTATTTTATTTTATTTTTGAAAGTGCCTTTGTTTGTGGTAGTGGTTTAGATAAGTGGTGTATTTTGTAATGCAAACTAAAAACCTCAACTAATACAAATGACAAAAATACAGCATAAATACAACAGAAAATATAAAAATGAAATCTAATTCAAAATATTAACAAAAACTATACTAGTATATCAGTGATACTAAAATAACACAAATTAAAGTCACTGCATCTCAGTGCTTTACATTTAATCTCAGTCTTGAAAAATGTGTTTCATAAATCCTATCAGGAGAAAAAAATAGCTGTTCAGCATTTTTTTTTATGTTCCTTGTCTTTTTTTTCTATGTCTTTTTTAATCATTCATCAACAAATAAGATATAGTATTCAGATCATGTGCCTGGAACTGGCAAATATGCTCGATATTTTGCATATATTTTGCATTAAGCGTGTGAATGAACAAGTGTATTTTGATTTCACTAAAGTATGCAAACTTTTCAGAGATATTGATTTCAAAATATGAACATTTAATGGTTTTGTTTTCCCCAGCATTTTGTTTTGCCGCTTTACTCTGATGGGCAATTGCATGATGGTTTTATTAGTATCTCCAGCCGTCAGTTTCTCTGGAACAGCTCGTCGAATATGAATATAGTCATTTGTGAACTCTATTGTAAGATGTTTATATTCTGAGCATCTTTCACGTGAATGCATGTAAATGTAATATCTGTGTATGTGTGGCTTTCATTGCACACAAATATTCCCGTCCTCTTCTCGTTTGCTGAGTGTTTTGCATGTGTGCTTCCTGTGTTTCTTCTTTCATTCTTCTGTCCTCATTTCAACTTCCTGTTACGTGTGTGTCTCTTCACAGACTCGTTAGTCATTAATAATCCAGTCAAATCCTCCTGTATGGTGTCATGAAGGAGCCTGGAGTGTTTTATGCTGCTTTTTCTGGTCATTTTTTATGTTTGACAGCTCAAGTATTACACTCTGACGGAGGTGAGGCAGGGGTCAGAGGTCACTGAAGAGCTGTCAGTCACTCGTATCTGAACAGGTGTAAACACCTGTGACCTTTGACCCGCGTCTGAAGTAATATTTCATAATTTTACTGTTTTTACTGTATTTCTGATCAAGTAAATGCAGCCTTGATGAGCAGAAGAGACTTCTTTCAAAAACAAAACAAAACAAAAAAATCCTCAAACTTTTGAACAGTTAACTAAATAACTAGGTAAATAAACTATAAACATAAAAAAATTTGATACTTGAAATAAAATACTTTTAACTGAAATAAAATATTTAAAAAACTTAAACTTGTAATATTAAAATAATTAAAAAAATAAAATTAAAACTTATTTAGTTTCAGCTAGTTGTTAAGGCAACATTTCTCATTTTCAATTAGTTTAACTTGGTGTACTAAAATAACTCAAACTAAAACTGAAATAAAATTAATAAACATATTTTTTAAAATGGATTTATAAAAAAAACAATAAAAAAACGAAAATAATAAAAATGACAACAAAAAAATAACAAAATGACAAAAACTTGAACTAAAATGAAAATTAAAACAAAATCTGAAAAATAAACAATAATTCAAAATAAAAACTACAATAGTTTCTAGTTCATTCTCTGTATTTGCATACTATTCCCAGTTTGCATACTATATACTGCAGAAATACAGTCATTTTATGCTATTCTGAACATTTTCCGTCTAAACCGCGCTCGTGTGTGTGTGTGTGTATATCTGTGTGTGTGTGTGTATATCTGTGTGTGTGTGTGTATATCTGTGTGTGTGTGTGTATATCTGTGTGTGTGTGTGTATATCTGTGTGTGTGTGTGTATATCTGTGTGTGTGTGTGTATATCTGTGTGTGTGTGTGTATATCTGTGTGTGTGTGTGTATATCTGTGTGTGTGTGTGTATATCTGTGTGTGTGTGTGTATATCTGTGTGTGTGTGTGTATATCTGTGTGTGTGTGTGTATATCTGTGTGTGTGTGTGTATATCTGTGTGTGTGTGTGTATATCTGTGTGTGTGTGTGTATATCTGTGTGTGTGTGTGTATATCTGTGTGTGTGTGTGTATATCTGTGTGTGTGTGTGTATATCTGTGTGTGTGTGTGTATATCTGTGTGTGTGTGTGTATATCTGTGTGTGTGTGTGTATATCTGTGTGTGTGTGTGTATATCTGTGTGTGTGTGTGTTTGAGGTCGTTGCGTGAGTGTGTGAGGTTAATAAATGTGCCGTCGTCATCGCTTGCAGCACCTGTGATCAGTTTGTGTTCAACATAAGCAAGCACAAAGCCTGAGGGAGCAAACACACACGTATGAACACACAACGCCGTGTTTTTCATGCTCTCAGTGTTGGTGAGCTGTATTTCAGTGCATCAGCTGCATCTGTAGGAGTCTGTTTTTCTGTAAAACGTGAATCTGGAGCACTGAAGGATGCTGGGAGGATACAGAGACACCGAGAGTGTAAAATAGGCCAGAGAGAGAGTGTGTGTGAGTCCTTTAACTGTGTGTGTGTGTGTGCATGTGTGTGTGTGTGTGTGTGTATGTCTGTCTGTGTGTGTGTGTGTGCATGTGTGTGTGTCTGCGGGTGTGTGTGTGGGTGTGTGCGTGTGTGTGTATCTGTGTGTCTGTGGGTGTGTCTGTGGGTGTGTCTGTGGGTGAGAGAGTGTGTGTGAGTCCTTTAGTTCCCCTCACACACACACACACACACACACACACACACACACACACAGTCCAAAACACTCGCCAAGAATAATGCGAGTAAAAATGCAGATTACTGAGTTAGTCCCCATATGTTTGCTAACCATCTGCTCAACATTTATTAGGAACACAGCTTTAACTGAACTGTAAGAACAGCAGTGACTGTCAGTGACGTTTAGTGACGAGAGCGATTCACTGGCTAATCATAAAAACATCTGCTAAAGTCCTCTAGCATTAAAAACATTTGAGGAAAGAAGTCTCTTCTGCTCACCAAGGCTGCATTTATTTAATTAAAAATACAGAAAAATGCTGTAAAATGGTCAAATATATTACAATTTAAAGCAGCTGTTTTCTATGTGAATATCTGTTAAAGTGTAATTTATTTCTGTGATGCGCAGCTGTATTTTCAGCATCATTACTCCAGTCTTCAGTGTCACATGATCTTCAGAAATCAGTATAATATGCTGATTTGCTGCTCTAGAAACATTTCTGATTATTAGCAATGACGAAAACAGTCGTGCTGCACAATATTTTTGTGGAAACTGTGATACATTTTATTTTTCAGGATTTTAGAATGTTCAAAAGAACAGCATTGATTTGAAATAGAAACATTATCTTTTCTAACATTCTAAATGTCTTTACTGTCACTTTTGATCAATGCAATGCATCCTGGCTGAAAAAAAACATTCAGTTCTTTCTAAATAATCGTACTGACAGCAAACTTGCGAATGGTTGTTCGTCTTCACGTTCAGTTTTACTCCTGTCTCTTTGTCTCTCGCAGGAGACTAATGAAATCGTGGCCATTAAGAAGTTTAAGGACAGTGAAGGTGAGTTAAAAAAGCTTCTGTTTGCAGGATCAGCATTCAGAACAACTGAACTGGAACTGCTGAGAGTCCTTCATCTGACCTGATTTACTTCAGCGCTGAACAGACAAGCAAACCAACAACCAGAATTAGTGTCGCGGGGCTGTCTGTGACATCATGATGCAGCTCATGAATATTAATAAGGATGCATTAATGATATATACTGTAAGCACATAAACGTGTATTAATCTAAAGATCAAATTTACAGAAGAGCATTTGTTCTATATCATAATAATAATGATAAACATAAACAATTTAACATCAAATTGTGAATAAAAATTAATATGCATTATATATGCTTTTTTATTTACAACTTTATAGAAGAGCATTTGTTCTATAAATGTTCTGTATCAGAAAAAATATGTAAAATAAACAAGTTAGCATCAAATTACATAAAATGTTTTTAATTAAGGTTTTAATTTGCATAATTTTACATAAACACATCTTTGTACTCTGTTCCAATGCTGCTAAAACAACAACTATTAAAATCATTTTTGTTAACTGAAGTAAAGGTGAAATAAAATAAATGATATAAATATTAGATGGAAAACTACATTAGAAATTACTAAAATAAGTTTGTTAAAGCACTAACATTTCTAATTGTAAATAAATCAAAACAAAAATAAAAACTATATTAAAGTTGAATACTTAAAATATATTTTATAATTTAATAAATTAAAATGAAATAAATATGACAATTAAAAAAAAAAAGAAAATAATAGACAAAAACTACATTAGAAATACTTGAGAAATACTTAAGTTGAAGCACTAAAATTACTAACTGTAAAAAAAAAAAAAAAAAAAAAACGAAAAATATATGTATTTTTAAATTAAAAAATTAAAAAAAAAAAAGCCATATTAAGAATCAAATTCCTGAACAGATAACCTTGAGTTGCTTTTTGAGTTGCATTATTTTTTTTATTAAGGAAAATTATTTCTAAAATTAATAACTGGAAAAAAAAAAAAAAAAAAAAATACGTGTATTTTTTGTATTTTTAAATTAAACAATTAAATAAATAATATGACAATTAAAAATAATATAAAATAAAATAAAATAAATAAAATTAAACCTGAAAATATAAAATAAAATTCAACTCAAAATATTAATAATCAAAAACTATAATTCATATATAAATAATGCAAAAAAAAACAAAAAACACTGGTTACTTTTAAAAGTAATGTTTTACATTGTGTTACAACCGATAGAATGTAACATTGTTCTTTTTTTAATTGATTCTGATTCTGTTATATTTCTGTTTAAATAAATATAAGCTGTAATGCATGTTTATTTATCGTGGCTCTTGGTTCAGAAAATGAGGAGGTGAAGGAAACGACCATGCGTGAGCTGAAGATGCTCCGCACGCTGAAGCAGGAGAACATCGTGGAGCTGAAGGAGGCGTTTCGGCAGCGAGGGAGGCTTTACCTGGTGTTTGAGTACGTGGAGAAGGTGAGATGAGACGGAGAGCGCTGAGATCTTCGGGTTGTGTTCTCCTGATGTGTGGTTTGTTGAGATGATCGTGTGTGTGTGTGTGTTGTAGAACATGCTGGAGCTGCTGGAGGACATGCCCAACGGAGCTCCACCGGAGAAGGTCCGGATCTACATCAACCAGCTGATCAAAGCCATCCACTGGTGCCATAAGAACAACATCGTCCACAGAGGTGCGAGACCACCTGCAACCAAAGAAATTATATTAAGAATATGTTCATTATTTTATTTCATTTTAATCATCGTCCACAGAGGTACAAGACCACCTGTAATAAAATAAATTTGTAAATTTTTAATTAAAAAATGTAATTAATTATATTTTAATTATATTATTTCATTTTAATCATCAATAAAATGAAATAAAAAACATTATATTTTAATTAAATTTCTTACTCATTGTCCACAGAGGTGCAAGTCCACCTGTAATAAAATTAATTATATTCTAATAAAATAAAATGAATAAATAAATAATATTTTATTTATATTATTTAATTTTAATCATGGTCCACAAATATATGAGACCACCTGTAATAAAATAAATTATATTTTAATAAAATTTATAAAAATTATATATTATTTAATTTTAATTATTGTCCGCAGTGGTGCAAGGCCATCTGTAATAATTCTTTTTATATATGATTCATTATAATATTAATAATTATATTTTAATAAAATTAAAATAATAAATTATATTGTAATTATATTATTTAATTTTAATCATTGTCAAATGAAGTATAAGACCATCTGTAACAAAATACATAATTTAAAGAATTTCAATTAAAATATATATTTTTATTTGATTAAAATATATTTTAATGATATTATTTAATATTAATTATTGTCCACTGACACATATTACACATGCATGATGGATAGATCTGTCTCTCTGGCTTTCTAGATATCAAGCCGGAGAATCTGCTCATCAGCTCAGACGACATGCTCAAACTGTGCGACTTCGGTAAGTTTCTGTAGTCATGTGATCATGAAGCACCAATCTCTGTGCTTCTATCTGGATTGTCCAATGTGCATCACAGGACTCTGTGTGGTGGCCACGCCTACATTCTGTGCAAATGATGTGGGCGGAGCAAATCCTTATTCTCATACTGTCCTGTATTAGACTCAAGTGTGTGTGTGTGTGTGTGGTGAGTGTGTGTGTCTCCGTCTGTGTGTATGTGTGTGTGTGTGTGTGTGTGTGTGTGTGTGTGTTTGACTCTGTCTGTCTGTGTGTGTGTGTGTGTGTTTGACTCTGTCTGTGCGTGTGTGTGTCTGTGTGTGTGTGACTGTCTGTGTGTGTGTGTCTGTCTGTGTGTGTGTCTCTGTCTGTGAGTGTGTGTGTGTGTGTGTGTGTTTGACTCTGTCTGTGTGTGTGTGTGTGTGTGTCTGTGTGTGTGTGTGTGTTTGACTCTGTCTGTGTGTGTGTGTGTGTGTGTCTGTGTGTGTGTGTGTGTGTGTGTGTCTCTCTCTCTGTGTGTGTGTGTCTCTGTCTGTGAGTGTGTGTGTGTGTGTGTGTTTGACTCGGTGAGGCGACAGCAGGTGGTCTGTCTCTCTTTCTCTCACTCCAGACTCAGTCTGTCTGTCTGTTGTCCATTCTGCTGGAAACACTGATATTGTTTTGATTGGGAAATGCAAGCAAACACACACATGCGCATCTTCTGTCCTCCTAAAATCATCACATACGACAGAAAAATCACCTATAAGATGTCGTTTATGTCTCAGTTATTTCTTTAACATGCTTAATCCGCTCACTTTGGCTCTGTTAATGTGAGGTTGATATGCTAATCCAGTGTGTGTCTCTGGCAGGTTTTGCGCGGGATCTCTCTGAAAGCACCGATGTGAACTACACTGAGTATGTGGCGACCAGATGGTACCGATCCCCGGAGCTGCTGCTGGGGTGAGTGTGTGTCCATATCACCATTACACAGCAGACCAGAGGACATCTTCATTGTTCTCTTCACTTAATGTTTTCAGTGGACAGGGACATTTCACTATGAAATAAAAAGAAAGTTATATTGTGCATAAAATCTGTTTTAGTTATTTATTTTTTCATGACAACTAAACACATTTGCCACCCTAAATTCTTATTACTTTAATGCATCGGGATGATTCTTTATATTTTTATTGATTTACTTATTTTGAAAAAAAAACAACAAAAAAAATGAATTAAATGTAAAATTAAATTTTAATAATTATATTTCATTTTATTTTAATTCATATTTGATAATTATCTATCTATCTATCTATGTAAACAAAATTACAAAATGTCTTAATAAATATAACAACATAATATAATAAAACAAAAGTATTATGAGGATATAAAACACCATAAAAATAAAGAAATATAAAAAATATAGTTAATAAATTAATTAAAATAAATATAAAATAAGTACATTATAAATTATAATATATGCAGTATATGCATATATATGTAAACATTAAATATTAATATAATTAATAAACAATATAACATCACAAAATATGTAAATTATATATATATATATATATATATATAACAACTATAATATAATTTAACTATAATTTATAAACATAATATAACAACATAACATAATAAATCAAACATAAAAGAAATATGAGAATATACAAGATATATATATATATAATTTATTTATTTTTTTGGGCCGAAGTATGACCTGATCATGTTCTTGTCAGGATTCACTGAATGAGAGTTGATTCTCTTCGTGTTGGTTCATGAGTCTCGACTGATATTCAGTGTCTCTGTCAGGGCTCCGTACGGGAAGGCGGTGGACATGTGGTCAGTGGGGTGTATTCTGGGCGAGCTGAGCGACGGTCAGCCTTTATTTCCGGGCGAGAGTGAGATCGACCAGCTCTTCACTATCCAGAAAGTCCTGGGACCCCTGCCGCCCGAACAAATGAAGCTCTTCTACAACAACCCACGCTTTCACGGGCTACGGGTCAGTCTGTCTGTCTGTCTGAAATCCCAGCACTATATTATCACATGTTCTTACTGTGATTGATTCATCAGCGTGTGTTCTCCGTGTGTAGTTTCCCTCGGTCAGCCATCCGCAGACTCTGGAGAGACGATATCTGGGATGTGTGAGAGTGTGAGTGTGAGTGTGAGTGTGTGTGAGCGCGTGTGTGTGTGTGTGTGCGTGCGTGAGAGAGTGTGTGCGTGAGAGAGTGTGTGCGTGAGAGTTTGGCCAGTTTCAGGAAAAAATTGTCCCCAGGAGTGAGATAAATCTGACACAGTTTCTATTTGAGGACATCTTGAATTGGATAAACATTTTTAAACATTAAGTAAATTATTCTAAAAATAAAAGATAAAAGATAAAAATATAGTTAAAAATAAGTACAAATAATAAAATGATAAAATATAATGTCTGTATATTCTAAATAAAAATAATATATATATAAAATATATATATGATACATGAAAATAATATGAAATGTAAAATGCAGTTAAAAATGAGTTACAAATGTAAAATTAAAGTGTAAATAAATTATAAATGTTTATTTTATATAGTTAAATTTAAATGTAATTATAATTAACATAATACATGTAACAACATAAGGTACTAGTATACTATGAATAGAGAGAAAAGGAGAGAAATGAGTCAGTTTTTCTGTAACCTTCACGTTTCAAAACTGTATGAAATATTAAATAATCAAATTAATTAGTGTTTTTGTGTTTGTCATCCGTCCACCCCACAGATCTAAATGAGTCTGACCTTCCCTTCTCTTGTCTTTTGTTCACCTGTGACGAAGGTTTGTCGTTATGGTGTGTGTGTGTGTGT